ACAGGAGCTCTTGGTTCCATGGGTTCCTCACGACGAGGAACCCAGAGCTGGGTTCCTCATCGTGAGGAACCCGATCTGGATTCCAATCACCTAAAATTGTTCATTTCTCCACCACTCATGAATACCAACTCCCTTCCATCTCATTTCCATATATGTTGTTGCAAAGATACAAATGAAATGTGACAAAAAACACAAGCTAACGACTTTGTCAAGCTGCAACAAACACAGAAAATAAGAACACCTTGGAAGAGCATATATCTTCTCAAATGCTACCTTTACATTTAGAGTAATGAATTTCCCTGTTAAGAAGCACACAGTTGGGTTCCTCACGAGGAACCTAGCTTGAACCCGATCTGGATTCCTCACAACAAGGAACCCAGAGTCGGGTTCCTCATGGGTTCCTCGGGAGGAACCCAGATCGGGTTCCTCTGAAGGAACCCAGATCGGGTTCCTCTGAAGGAACCTAGCTTGAACCCGATCTGGGTTCCTCACAACGAGGAACCCAGAGTCAAGTTCCTCATGGGTTCCTCTGGAGGAACCCAGCTTGAACCCGATCTAGGTTCCTCGTCGTGAGGAACCCAAAGTCGGGTTCCTCCAGAGGAACCCAGCTCAAACCCGATCTGGGTTCCTCATGACGAGGAACCCAGAGCTCCTGTTTTTATTTTATTTTATTTTTTTTGGCTGGGAGATTTTCACATAAAAATTATGCCATGTCATGATCTCACATCATCAAAAAATCGTCCACATTAGATAAATAATATCATATAATGCCTAAATAAGCCACATCATCAAAAAAAGGTATTCACATTGGATTACTAATTGCACATAATGGTCACGTCAATTTTTGGGTGCCACGTGGTACATTTTGTAACGGTGCTGTGACGGTGCTTTAAAATGTTGGGTTTTTTTACGGATTTTGAAAAGTTGAGGGTATAAATAAGAAAAAAAATATTTGAAAGGTGTTGACCGTGAAAAAAAATTAAATGGAGGGTGCAAATAGGGGTTTTGGCCAAAAGCAAAAGTAAAAGCCAAAGAGAGTGCAATAATGCAATCAATCAATGAACAAGTTGAGAACTCCCCCACCTGGCCCACCCCCGCGTGGCTCAGTGATAGACCACGTTATCCTATGAGTAATACGTGAAAATCACTCGAGTTTAATTTTTGATGCTGATAAAAACAGATACTAACTATTAATTAATATTTTTTTATCAAAAAAAAAAAAAGGAAATCAATGAACAAGTTGATTAATTTAAATTAAAGCTTTAATTTTGTCATCTCTCGTCAAATATTTTGCTACGGAATAATTTGACTCTATCTATCCTACAAACAAGGAATTCGGCTATATACTATTCTTTCACTGAATAATCCTACAAAAATGAATAAACCAGTGTCCAACTAAGTTGAAGGTATTTGTTGTTTCTAAGGAAGACCAACTCAGTTTGAGAACAAATCAAGAAAGAATTACTCAAATATTCTTTTTTATTTTGTTTCCTTCTAAGGATAGATTTGTAAACCAAAACATCCCATTACCTATTTTCAAAAAAATAATAATAATAAAGAAAGACACAGACATTGGGCGGGAAGTCAATGACTATTGAGGTCAATGAAATAAATTCCAGTGGAGGAAAAAGTCCAAGGAAAATCAATGGCCCAAGCTCAAAAAGGAAGACTCTTTTACCTCAAGGGCCTGGTCTGATGTTGTCAGAGATGTGCCTATATTGTTAAACAGGCTCCTAGTCTTCCCATGCTGTACCTGGCTGCAGTTATTAGAACATCAAATGGACCGTCTGACTCCCCTATATTCATAAATTCTCAATTGAAAATTATGGAGAGTAAAG